TAACTTTCCAAAAACAAATACCAATTGAAAGAAAAAGAAAAAATGAAGAAAAAAATACACTGAAGAAAACAAATAAATCTATATTCATTCTTGATTGATAAATTTTAATAAAACCATTAGTTTTTGATGATATTAATGATGAACCTGTTGTTAAATGTATAGCTCGATAATCCGAAAGTGAAAATGATATAGATTGTGATTGAGGATCAATTAGATCTGATAAACGTATACGTGATATTGGTTGATCAACTAATAAACAATGAAGATTATCTTGTGTAAAATCAATATCTGTTGGCGATATTAATAATGTTAAACGATGACGAGATGATAAATTTCGAAGAATAATTATATCAGATGGATCAGAATAAAGAATTCCTATTTTAATTAAGAAAACAAAAGAACAAGTTTTTTCAAATTATGTCACACGTTTGTATCAACATAAAATAGAGTGTTTCGAAAACGACTTCATTCTATCAGTTTTAACTGACCTCAAAAACGTTCATTGGTTTAACAGAGATGAGATCGCCCAAGCAAGCCGAAAAAGACATGCGAGGGGTGCGCCGAGCTCTCGACCCATCGGGAAATGGCAATCCGAGGGGTCGATTTGAAATTCCGATGGGTCCAGAGCCTGATGGTAGGTACATTGATAGTTAGCAGAAGCACGAGATCGAAACTTTGAAACATCTATGATGGTACAATTTTGAGACACGAGCTATACCCATCGGAATTTCAAATCGACCCCTCGGATTGCCATTTTCCGATGGGTCGAGGGATCGGCGATGGGTATTTTAGGAGACATCGACAGTGCAAAATCGAAGCGTCGAAATACCCCTCGAAAGGCCAGTTGGGCGGTTCGTATTTCTTTTGAAACCGAGCCGATCGCATCTCTGATGGAAAAACATGTTGAAATTTGATAATATCGAAGAAAATTTGATGTCCCTAGTAAGTTTTGACTCTAGTTATATCTAGGTTATAGTTGTTTTTTTTTGTCATTATCAATGTCAACAGTTAATAGATCTTCTATTTTCTGCCAATATCTATCATTGAGGATACATATATGAGAAAATTATTAGCGAAAATGTCAATGAAAATGAAAATAAAAATACTCAATGACTTATTAGATTATTTTCAAAAATAAAAGTTTTTGAAATTTTCTATTTCTTATTGATATGTACACGAGCTAAATATACGAATCAATAACAATGTTAAAGAGAAATATTTCGTTCTTTTTCTCTTTGTGTAGTCTCAGTCGTTTTAATCGTCGTTAAAGAAGTTTATCGGGTAAATATTTGATCATTTATCGGATTTCTTCAAAGATATAAGCACGATTGACATGAATCAGAAGGTTTTTGGTATTGCAAATAACTTATTTTCATTTTGAAATTGATTTATTCATATTCAACGATAATATATTTTCAATAATCAGAATTACAGCCTTTTCGTCGGTATTTCAAATCAATCATGTTCAACTTTAAAAAGTTCTATCTAATACTATTCTTTTATTTCATTAAATATTAAAACAAACTCAAAAAATTTTGACCAAATCTGAATTTTTTGCCTTTTTTTTAAAGGATTCTATAGAATCTCATAATTACTTCGAATAGAACAATCAAAACTGAGTAGAACTCTTATATTAATCTTGTATTTTCATGAATCTATTAACAAATCTTACCAAAATTTAAATCTTCATTTGTTAAATCATAATCACGAATAAATGGTTCTGTATCAGTTAATGATTGATGTTCATAATAAACATGATGATCATTTAATACAATAAAATTAGCATTTCGTATTGAACATATAACATCAACAAAACCATTTTCAATTCCAATTAAAACTCTAAAAGACAAAAAAATAATTTTTTTTTTCTTTTTGTTATTTTTTTTTTTTGTCTAACCGAATATTAAGATTACGATAACTTGGAGTTACTTCAAATGATATTGTTCCATTATCATCACTTCTAATTATTTCATAATTTTTAAAACATGATTTTAAAGAATTTCCATAATCAAAACATTGAGTTGTATCAGTTGCTAATAATCTTTAAAAAGAAAAAAAAAATGTTTATTCAAACAAAAAAATTCGAAAATAGATTAAAAAAAGAACAAACTTATAACATCGATGACCACGTTCAGATATAACACCATTATAACCACGTTTACAATTTGAACATTGTTGATAAATTTTTGAACGACATTGACTTTGTTCTTGATTATTTATATTATATGAACGATTGGAAAGACATTGATAAAGATTTAAATCAACTAAATTTGAATCCAATAAATGTGAAAGACATTTACAACCATCAGTTACTATAGAAGAAAAAAAAAAACAAAAGAGGGGAAGAAGATGTTTTTGTTTTTTTTGCAAATATTTTTCATTTATTTATATTTAATTTACTATTTGTTAGACAATCATATGTTTGTCCAGAACATGAACATTCAAAACAAGTTGTTGTAGGTGTTTTTAATTCAATTAAATGCGAAAGTTGTTTTCCATTTGGTCGATAACGGCAATATTCACATCGAAGACCACGTGTTAAATTTCCACAAAATAAACATACCTAATGGAAATAAAAAATTTTATAAAAAACATCTCATGTTAATAAATATGATTTCGGATATGTTCGATAAGAGTTTGTTTTTTTTTTTTGGTTTTATTAATAAATTAATCGAGTGGCAAAAAACAAACAAATTCATTGAAATAATTAAACAAGACGATTAAAAATCATTAAAATATAAATGATATCTTATCGACGATTTGATTTTGTATGAGAGTTTGAAAAAATTTCACGAAATATTTCTACTGTATCTACAAATATGTTTATTGTTTAAAACATAATCGCGACTAACATTGAGATTACATTTTGAAAAATTTTTTGTCACAACAAAAATGAAATTTCTTAGAAAATAAACTATTAAAATATTTTCAATTTTTTCTCTATTTCTACTCGTAGCAATTCTATAGAATTATCGGAGATATTGTTTGTACGTTTTAAAACGATATTCTTTGGGTTGTTGTTTTTGTCAACAAGAAAAAAAGATGAATTGTCAAAAAACCAATCAATAGTAAGTTTTAAGACAATATCGAAGAGTCTCTAGTGATCTAGCATAAGTTATGAAAATTAACCTAAAGATTTATCAATGCTTGTTTTTCTACATAAAATTGAGTAGAAAAGTCATTAGCACGTTTATCAATGTATTAAATATTACAATTAAAAAAATAGCTCAAGAAAAAAAAAACGAGATTGTCATAGTCTTAAGTAAATTCACTATGGAAATTACTTTTTTCTATATTCTCATTTCCTTATTTCATCGCATGATTACTAGCGAAGCTTTCAGCAATGAATAACATCTCTTTATATACCTTGATTATCTACAGAATGGAAAAAGTATGACAACGCATACATATATAAGTGTGCTATTAAATTGATGAAACAGAAAAGAAGAAAACATATCTATATGAATTAATCTGAACAAAAAAAACTTAATAATCTAAGCTTCTAACAAACTGTTTTATCATTTTCAACTTATTCAAAGAACCTGATTGTACTCAAATATTTACAGTATTTTAACTACTATTGCTATTATTAACATTATTTTGTCTTTCTGATAAGATAAGATTGTTTTATTAATCATTGCTCTTTTTATTTCTATCTAATTGATAATTCTTAATACTCGATTGTCATCAAAAGTAGCTCAAAAAAAAAATCATCATATGAAAAATCATTTAATTTTCATTTGATTATTTAACTTTAATTCTTCATCAATAATTCGAATAAAAAAAAAATTATGTAAAAAAAAGAAAAAAGTTATTTGAATGTTTTTCAATTAATAATCAATCTTAAATTCAAATAACTAACCGGTTCATCATTATCTTCATCATCATAAACTGTATTCGATTGATTTGATATTAAATATGATTGAACGATTTCTGGTGTTAATCGTTGTTGACATTCTCGAATATTTCGAGTAAAATAAATAGATGAACATAGACGACGCAATTGATTAACATATAAACATATGTTTGTTTGATAATTACAATGAGATAAACAAGGTACACATTGACCTGATTTTGATTGAAAAAAGCTATAAATAAATATCAAATAACCATACTTTATTTTATCAATTTTATTTTTTGAAAAAAAAACAAGATTTTTACTTAGTTTGATTATTTATTTTACATTGATCACCATTTGATAAACTGATGAAAAATAATAAAAATAAATGACGATAACACATTCGTCTTTCGATTTAAAACAAACTACATTTTCATGATGGAATTCTTTTTATCTACAATAGAAAAAAAAAAATTTTTTTATTGTTTTTTTCAAATAAGAGATTTGACTTTATTTCAACATAATGATACAGAATAGAATATTAAAATCTCGTTATCATTATGAACATTTAATGGACAATCTCATTTTCTTCTATTAATGTATTCGATACTTTCGAACAAAAAAATTATAAATTAGGCAACCCGTATATATTTTTGATCGTAAATATCTGAGTTACCGATAAATATCCTGCCAGTCATCCGTTTCAATAATAACGATTCATATAAAAAACAAGTAATATCCAACCTTGTTTTCTATTAGTTTATTTAATTAACCAATAAAAAAATATCGACTAACCTCAATATTTACTATTTGTATCAATTTTTTTTTTTCTTTGAATAAATTAATTAAAATTAAAAGATATATATAGATTTTTATTATGAGATTTTTTTTTTTTAAATTTTTAAAAAAAAAAAAAAAAAAGAAAGCCATCTGTCAAAATTGATCAATGGTGGCCATATCTTTGTAATTATGGTTTTGTCCTGTTCTCATTTATACGTGCATGACTTATGAACGAAACATGTTAAATATAAAGAAAAAGCCTTAGAATAAAAATTTAACAATAAATGTTGATTCAAGGATTTTACTTTCTTTTAGGGTTCGTGTTGTAGTATTAGTTTTTATTTTATTACGAATTTTCTGTATTTACAAAAAACAAAAACACATGGATTCACAAGAACGACCAAACACACAGGTAGTTTTATGTCATTTAAATGCATATAAATTTGTTTTGTTTTGTTTTTTTTTCTATTTTTAATTTGATATATAATAGACCGTATCTGTCTCCAATCCATATTTATTACGTTTAAAATGTTTTCTTTGTCAAGCATTAAATCCAAATATAAATGATGAAAATAATAATTTTAAAAAAGATAATAGTAAGATTAAATTTTAATAAATTAAAATAAAATTATATATTGTTTTTGTTATAGACACAAATGAAAAATCATTTAATCCTATATCAAAGGTAGAAAATAATTTATTATATTAAAATCTTAGAGAAAAATTTTCGTTTAATTATAATATATATATATATTATCGACTTGTATGTTTTTTTTTTTTGCAATTATTTTTATTTAAGAAAATAATCTCCAGAATATTACGACAGATAAATATAAAATGTCTTTATTATTTTTATTTTTTAAGTAATAAAAGAAATATTTATTTCATAAAATTAAAAACAATAGATTTAAAAAAAAAGAAAATAGTATTCTTTTTATATAGAACAAAAATCTTCTAGATAATCTTTAATGCTTTTTTATTTGTAAAGAGAAGAATTGAATTTAAAATATTTTATATAAAAATAGAATGTTATTCATTTTTATTAATGTTCAAAATAGTAACAGTTTTTATATTTTTGAATACTTTACTAATTATTTATTTATGAAACATTATAAGAAGAATTTCGTATTATTTAATTTAATAAAGAAATAAAAATTTGTCATCATTTTTTTTTTGTTTCTCGAATATAAATAAGTCAAATAAATTTTCTATACATGTTAAATAAATATTTTTCAAGTTTAATTCAAAAAACAACAATTGATTGAAGAGTACCCAGAACTGTTTTTCATGACATGAAATTATTGTGATTGTATAGTATTTATCTATTGAGTACATTTTAAGATCACAAAATTATTCTTAAACGAAATTTATGTGTAACGAAGATAGCGAGTCATATTTCCTCATGTTAATATGTGCATGAGTAAAAAAAAAAGTGTAGCTACGCCAACGTTTCTCTGATCGAGCTGAAATACTTCTTCACTTATTTTATTGTGCTGATTTTTGGGAGCTCTTACCAAACAAAAAAAACATGTGTTTTTCAGAAAACTTTTGATATTTTAACTTATTTATTCGAAGAACAAAAAATAAAAAGATATTCATCTCAAATAGTGCCATATTTTCAGCTCGATCGAACAATATTCCGAAGAAATGAAAGAAAAACCTCATGATTCTAGTATGTCATAGAAGACACAGCATCAAACAATTTTACTCTGACAACGTCAAAATTTTTTTTCTGATAAGTTCTTCTTTAGAAATAAAATTTTAACTTGATGATTTAAATTATTTAATTTCGAGTTCTGTAAGAGAAATTTCTTTTGATCAAAAAACAAAAAAGAATCGTTTTCAAGTCGATATTCTTGCAAAAATTTTAATATTTAATATTAAAATTTTCTTTTTATTAAGCTTCCATTGTATACATGTCCAGATTGTGAAGCTAAACTTCGATTGGAAGAAAAAGAAACTGCAAGTAGTTCAACAGTCACATCTCAAGTATAATTTCTTTTCTATTTAATTTTATTTATTATTTATATTTATTTTTATTATTAAATCAGGAATATGAAGAAGAATCTGAACGAATGATTATTGTACCAGATACAAGTTCTGACGATAATCATGATGAATGTTGGTGTCAATCATGTACAAATGATGTTGATGATATAAATTCTCGTCAATTATGGGATGATCTTTCTCATATTATTAAATGTGTTTATCGTGCAACAGATAAAGAATTTTCAGGTTTAGAATCAATAAATAAATACTTTTTTGTCTTATTAATTCTTTTGATTTTATATTTAATTTTTAGAAAATCAATTTTCTGATGATATTTTCAAGGCAAAAGAATATGTAAAAAAGTAAATAAATGAAAGAAAAAAAAAATAAGTATTTTTTTAGTTTTATATAAAATGATTTTTATTTTTAGATTAACTGATATAAATCCTCAATCTTTATTTAATAAACTTGAATCCATTGTATTAGAATATGTTCGTGAAATAAGAAATCAAGTGTTAGAACGTTTTCATACATGTGCAAAAACTTCTCATGATGTACAATTATTTATTTCATTTCTTTTGGATGAATATAATATGTTTATACAAGCAGCAAATAATGTTTCAACTATTGTTTCTTATTTAGTTCGTATTTATAAATTAAAAAAAATCATATCTCTTCTTTTTTTTTTCTCAGGAAGAAAATCATATGAAATCTTTTCATTTAACATGGTTATTATATAATAAACATTTATATGAAAAATTAATATATATGGATAGAAAAATTCAACATTCAATGTCAACAATGATTGATCTATTACAACCATCAAATGATGATGATAATGATTATTCACCAGCTGAATATACACAATTATTGAATAGATTTTTAGCATTTGATGAAGAAATGTCTGAAATAGCTTGTTTATATAAAGATGCTCAAGCTAAAATGATTTCACCATCATTTAATATATGTATTCATAATGGTTATCAATTTGATCATAATATTAAAATGAAAAAAAAGAAAAAATGTAAAAAAGTTAAGAAAACAAAAAAATTACAAACATCAACACAAGATAATACTAATAGGTTAGAATTCATTTGTTTTCAATTTTCTTATCTAAATTATTATTATAAAGACACAGCAATTTTAAAACAATAATGATTCAAAAAAAAAAATAAAACCAAAGACAGACTATTGAAAAAAAGAAGAATACTTTTGCCTTTTGGCTACTTTGCGTGCTCTCTAATAGTAGATTCAGTAATCTGATATCTTTCATAGAAGTAATATGAACTTTAGCTTCTGGATAGAAGACTAGTCGGACACAGAGTTATTGTTTGAGCTTCTCATACACACTAACCGCAAGAGTACGTATATGTCGCATTGTAATAAGTACACTATCAAATTTGGTCATTCGAGATACAATAGTTGTTAGAGATTTGTACTGATTCATTTCATGACTGATAATATCGAGTTTTGAATACAGTATATTGTGGAGATGTATCGAACATCGAAGGCTCTCAGCCGTAACGCTCTTCAAGCTATTAAGATATTTGGCGATTGATGAAGATTCAATACTAAGAATGGAACAATTCCTCACTGTTTTTTTTTTTACATTAATAATTGTTCATTTGTAATCATTAGAAGGATTAATGTCGACCAGTACTTTGAATGAGATCTAATCAGTTTTCATGGTACTATTGCTATGATTGACAATATACTATTAAAAAATGTAAGAATGAGTGATTCTAAGTACGACAAATGAGCTGATCGTTGTTCGAGTTCTTGCAATAAATACACTATTTCTTCATTTACATTAACAATTGAACAGATGAAAAACAATAACTAAACTTTTATCAGACATAATACAAAAATTTTGCCTTTTATGTCTTTTTTTTTAATGTCGAACCTATTTTGTCATAGAAAAACACCTTAAACAAGTTTACGCAAATAAGCTTAAATTGTCTTTTTTCCTTAACTTATCAATAATAAAATCAATATATCGAGCGAAATTTGACGTTCTGCAAAAATTAGCTTGATGGTAAAATGAAAAACAAAAAGATTAATATTTAATATAAAGAAAATTTGAAAATGATTTTCTGTTCATGTTTTTGTTTTTTTTCATGAAAGTATTATACACCCAATGAATTGATGGTATCTATATATGTTGAAATTTTTAATTGACTCTCAAACAATTATTAGTCTAAGATGACTTTTTATATAAATAGAGCTTTGTTTGATTTCGTTTATAATACATGAATAGAGAGAATTTCATATAAATGAATAATAATTTTGTTTTTTTTTGAATGACATGAAACAATTGAAATAATCTTATAAAATAATTTAGAATGATCTTCTTATCTATTTTCATTTTTTAAATTCTATTTTATTCTTTTCTCATGAAGATGATAGAACATTTATTAATCTTTATAGGAAAAAAGAAAGAGAACTTTTATTTTTATGTTAAAATACAGTTTTAATATTGCCTAGAAATAATTTGTTATAGTTCTGTAACAACCGCTGTTGATATTCCATCATCAAATAATTCATCATCAACAGGTGCACCTTCACATCAAGGTTCAAATGGTTCATCTATAGGTTCAGGTATTGGTGGTGATGAATCATCATCAGTGTCATCCGTTGATGATTATTTACTCGATAATGATACATCATCATCAGGTTATACACTAGAAGATCAAGAAGAATTAACTCGTTTAATGTTAGAAGAAGATTTAAATGAACAATTATTAGCAAGTATATTAGATAGTGTTTCACCTTTAGCAAGAATACAACGTGAAATATGTCAATCAAGATTTGATGAGAAAAAAACAAATATAACAACAACAATTGATAATGAAAAATGGATTGAAAGTATTATTCAAGGAATACAATCGGCTAATGAAAAACAACAAAAAATAACAACAAATGATACAAAAATCAATAGTAATTCAACAGCTAAAAACAAAGAACAAATATCAACCAGTGAGAAATTTATAAAAATTTTAATACTAAAGAATGTACTGTCTATTCGAATAACTTCATTAATAATTAAAAGTTAATCACTACGATTTTAACTTTTTCTAACTGTTAAAATTCATAACACATTGGTTTTTGGTTAAAATTTCGTTTCTATAAAACATCATTATGTAAAAGAAATTGGGGTAACAACAAGAGTTGTGTAGGACAAGATTTTTTCGTGTCTTATGGTCTGACTGAGAAAAACTACTTTACCCTTTTCTACTCGACAGAATATCCGCCAAATCAGATAAAATCGATAAAAGACGCGTCTTTATGCTTTCACCAGCCATTTCTTTTGGAAAAAAAAGCGAGTCTGAAGGAGGTGATGCCCACAAACGTGCTTTCTAATAAAATAAAAGTAGTTTTTCCAGAATAAAAAAATGTATACATTTTAAACACAGTAACCAGTTGGAGATGATGGTGCGACATAGTACTACTTATTTTTCGATAAGGGCAATGTCTGCATTCCATTAAACTGTTATGACATGTAAGATACTAGACCGTTCCGTCTACTATCTCATGCAAATATTTTCTTTCTTTCGTCCTGTCGTATAGATCCTTCTAAGGTATTCTTCTGTCTTTTTCCAAGTATAAACCGAGGTCAAGATGTCTTTCTCTCTTCTCATCATGTACTAGCATTAGTTTTTTATGGAATCATTTGAATGGAACACAATGAATTGATTGAAGGATCAATTTTCAAGTCAGCAAAATTTTGTCCTTAAAAGGTTGAAATGATCTCCTGCCTAACTCCATATTCTTATCTGATTTTACGAGCTTTTTATCTCACTCTCTCTAAATCGTACCCTCATTGTAAGACTGTAAAAATAATAAATAGCAGAACCCGTATCACAATAGAGATATGCAGGGTAAGCTTTTATTTTCTTACCCTGTATCCTGACTAAGAAAATTTTCCTAGTCCTTACTTATTACTGTGCCCTACACATCTCTAGTAATACTGGTATTAAGCTCTTGAAAATCGTTCTATATTTTATTGACATGAGTTGCCTAGATCGAGTTTGAATATAAATGAAGACTTACCTGGGTGTTATCACTTCGAAAATAAATGAAAAAACTTCTACCAAAATTTTTGCATACAATACGAATAGGTGAGAATAGATTTACTTTTACTAGAGGTCCCTGTGAAGGGTTGGACTCAAGGGGGAGAAAGCGAGACTCCTGGAGTGCGTACTTCCACTGTACTCCCCTGTGCTTCCCTGTACTTCTACTGCACTCCCCTGTACTTCCACTGCACTCCCACTGCACTCCCCTGTACTTCCACTGCACTCCCACTGTACTCCCACTGCACTCCCACTTAACTCCAACTGTACTCCCACTGCATTTCCACTGTACTACCATTGTACTCCGGGAGTACGAAAGTCTCACCTTTTTCCCTTTGGTTGGACTAATATTATAGAAAAAATTGATTTAATTTACATAAGAAAAAAGTTTCTGAATGTAACATATAATATAGAACACTGCTAACAATGTTAATTCAATGATCTCTTTATTTCTTATAAATATATACATAATGAATGGACATATACGACGTACATATATATATATGTATACTTTTTTCATTCTATGACCAATCATATGAAAGTTCCTGAAGAAGAAGAAGAAAACTTGTAAAATATAATATAGATTCACTAGGGCAGTTATAAATCTATTTCATATTGTTAGAGGTCTTACATTAGCATTAGTCTTTAAAAACTGCTAATGATTGGCATTAGAGTTAATTAGTAAGCAAGGTATTACAATTAAGTTACCAATCATATTACTTATAATACATGTACTCGATAAAGTTTTGAGAGGATCCTTTGGACATCCCATCAGTAGTATTTCAGCTGCTATAGGCATCACATTACTTAATGTGACAGATACATTATCTGAAATACTACAGGCAGGACCTAGGGTATCAGAGATTTCACTTGAGTGTTTACAACTAGCATGTCCAGATAATCTGTGAAAAGCAATAGCTAGCATGGTTACATGATCCTTCAAGTCTTACATTCAATCCATCTATAAGAGTTAACAAAAATGCTGTTTGAATGTGAATAATTGTGACGTATGAGTCTTAATGATTAATGTTAATGCAAACGTGTTAACATAAGTATTCAAAAACGCTAATGCTACTTCAAATAGCACATTAATAGTCAAAAGTTTCAGATTGAATACCTACATACAAAAAGTACGAGAAGCGGTCTTCGAAGAGTCATGATCCATGTACGTCTCTGTGTACACAGTAAGCCTAATGTTTATCCTACCTCCATGTACTACGAAGTGGACTAGCCAGTAGTCAATCACGCTAGTTTTAATCGTTGCACTTCTCAATTTGTAAAAGTAACGGAGTGATTAAAATTGACCTCAAATTTTGGTGCCACTACTATCTGCACTGTTGTTAGCACGGGATTCATACACAGCACAGCACATAGCGCCTAAAAATATTAACAAACATTATACAGCGCTGTGAGCATTTTATTACAATACAAAGTTCCAACAAAATTTCCTTCCTACTCAAGTGGTTTTCAATACTTCTTCGAAACATTCATTAATATTCGAAGTTGCATAAGCCATCTAATCTTATATTTGTATATTTTAATACGAGCCTTCATTCTAATTACACTTCGATCATTAAAACTAAACCTAGTCCTCCCAATGCCCAAACTTATTAGGGATTGTTACAGATATGTATTTATAAATACTTATTACTAAAATTAAATGTATATACATAATGTTCAGTGTCTGTCTGACGTCTCCGTGCTCAGGTCAAAGGTCAAATAAGGCTATATGGGAAAGGCTATAAGTGCTGCTATATTGGGATACCCATAGATCCTCAAGGACTATTCTATGAAGGTACCCTTGGATCCTCAAGTCCTATTATATGGAGATACCCATAGGCTCTCAAGAGCTGTTATATGAGGGTACCCATAGGTCTCCAAGGGGTAGGGGATAAGGGAATACAGATATAAGGGTAAAGGGATAAGAGGCTAAGGCTACAGAGACATAAGAGATAAGGGTATAGCGGATAAGTAGATGAGGCTGCATGGAATATAAGGGATAAAGGAATAACAGAATAAGGTTATAAGAGGTAATAACACAAGAGTATAGGGCTACAAGGGTGTAAGACTTCAAGAGTATAAGGCTATAAGGTCCCTCGATATATATAATGCGAACTGTCTGATTGTCTATTACTGAATCAAGGCTAAAGGACAGATGTGAAACTTTACAGGAAAAAAGCATCCGTGCAGTATGCACGAGCCCTTGCTAGTATATTCCTATCTATTGCTGAACTTACAGGAATAGGAATATACATATTAATTACATTTGTGCATACCTAAGACTAAATCTTTAACTAAGAATGATTGTATGTAAAATATGCTTCAAAATCTAAATTTATATTCAAATTCGAAATAGGAAGCTACTTCCAATAAACAAGTTATAATTTAGAAAAGTCAAATGAACTACAAGATGCCACATCATTATTCAAATATTTATCAAGAAGAAACGAATTGATTTGTATGCTAGAAATCATTAGAAATCATCATAATACCTTAAGGAGAAGAATGATTTAATGGAAGTAGTTAAAAATTATCGAAATCCCTTAGAAACCATAAAAAAAACATGATAAATCATAGAAAATCTTTATTAATCAGATTAAAGTAAAGCCTTGATTTCTATTGATTTTCTTGATTTTCAATAATTTCCAATATTCTTAGCGGTTGCAATTGGTTTCTAGTCATTTCTTATGGTTTTTCTCCAAATCTAAACATATCTGATCAGCAATATTGATTCACGATGAACCGATAAAAACTGATTTTTCAGCGGTAGAAATCACTTTGTTCCTCCTTGAATTTTTAAAGTAACATACGAAAGATTTAGACAACTGAAAAAACCAACACATCATAATTTTCACAAATCAATAAAAAAAATTCAATTTCTTACATCTCCGTGCAAATCGAAACCTCTAAAAAAATATTCGTAAGAATTAATCTAATGTATAATAATGTCAAGTTTCATCGTTTTTAAATTAACAAGTTTTTTTCTATTTAACCTAAAGTTTTAATAATGAAATAATGATAATTTATTTCGTTGACTATAAATATGTGTTTTAGTTACAACATCTTCCGAATCATCAACTAAAAAATCTTCATCAGCAAAATCTAAATCAAGTAAATCATCACATCGTCGTAAAGAAGCTTCATCATCGAATTCTTCAACCACAACAACAACAACAACAACCACAACAAATCAAATACCGAAAAAATCGATTGCTGCTGATTTACTTCTTCCTCGTTCTATAGCTGATCTTTCAGCTAAAATTCAATCTGTTTCATTTACTGCTGGTACATTTGGTTCAATAACATCGGCAAATACCAATGAATCATTTCAATCGTCGTCTTCTTCTTCTTCATCATCAAATTGTTCAACAACAACATTAACAGCTGCTAAAACAACAACATCAACAGGACAAACACGTTTAAGTATTAATTTAACACGTAAACCAGGTTCAAAAACAACTGAACATGGTGGTCAAAAAATAGCTGAAGCACTTTTTAATGAATTAACAAGTTTCGGTAATGGAGAACATTTAAATAATGGAAGAAAAAAAGATAATCAACAATTTAAAAAAACTAAACAACAACGTTCAAATATCAATGAAACATTACTTGGTTTGTTTGTTTGTTTTTTTTATTATTCAAAAAATAAAACTAAGTATAAATTTTATTTTAGGTTCTACAAATAATTCTCATTCATTTTTTAATTCATCCAATAAATCTGATTCAAATTCATCATCAACAGCTTATAGTAATTTAGATCATCTTCTTCGACATGCAGCATCGAATACAGATGTATCCGAAGCAGCATTACATTCAATATTATCATCATTTCATTCTCCATCTTGTCTTGATCCATCATCATCAAAACATTCAATATCATCAAAAACAACTGAAGCATTACAAACATTACTTGCTCAACAACAACATCAACATCTTCATCATCATCATCATCATCATCAAAAAAAGACTTCATCAAATAATAATAATAATAATAATAATGGTAAACCATGTGAATATTGCTGTTGTGAATCTTCTGAAGGACGAACTTGTTCAGCATCAACATGTCTTCATTTATCATCAACATCAAATACAACAAATGGACCAATAAGTAGTTGTGTTACATGTATGGCTTTACCAGGTACAACAACATCTGTTATGGGTACAACAATAACAGGTGCTTTTAATCAACGTGATGTTGAAATGAAAGAACGTTTAAAACTTAAATTAACTAAAAGAAATGTACAAAATTTAACTGAACAACAAAATTTATTAAAAGAACAACAACAACAGAAAAAAAACCTAACAACTAGTAAAAAACAATCAGTACAAAATAATAATACAAAAGCAAAAGAATTTCTTATTAATGATCCTAATAATATTGATGATTTAGTTAGATTTATTGATGGAAATGAAACATCATCTAATAGTAATGAACATCAAACAACAACAACAACAACAACAACAACAACAACTAATGAATCAACATCAAAAAAACATAAGAAGAAAAAAGATAAACAATCAAAAATTAATAATAATAATAATACTAATAACAATAATAATGAAGAAATAAAAACCAATTCTTCTCAATCTAAAGAACAACAACAACAACAACAACAGCAAACGAATAAAAAAAAACAAAATGGATCAAATACTACTCAACAAACAATGTATATATATATTTATTTTAATTTTATTACTAAGATATATGTCATAGTCTTTTTATCCATATAGTTCTTCTCAACAACCATCTCGCAGTACTTCATCTTCATCATCATCTACAAAAGTAACACCTCTTTCATCATCAACTCCTTCTGTTGAAACTCAACAGCCTTTATCAAAACGAAAACAAAAAGCCAAATTAAAACTTGAACAACAACAAAAACAAGCAACTAACTCTATAGATCAATCATCAACTACTTCTAATATCATCACAACAGCTACTAATCCTACATCAACATCATCTACAGATCCTGTTGCAGTTCCTCTTCCATCTACCCTTCCAACTTCTTCTTCTTCATCTTTTTCTTCTTCTCAAAGAACTAATACACCTCGAACAAGTTTTGATTTACCATCGGAAAATTTTGATTCACCTGGAGAGGAAGTCAATTGGATAACTATTTCACGTAAACAAAGTAAGCATAAACCAACACAACCATCTGTACCATCACTATTGGCTGTACCTGTTCTACCTGTTGTTCCGCCGACGAATACCAAACAGTATCGACAACAACAGCAACAGACAACAGCTAATACTAAAAAGACAACCTCAACGGCTAATACTTCATCTAATGCTCAACAAAAAGTGATACCACCAACTGGTGTATTATCGAATGTTGCATTGGAGACTCAATTAAATAATAATAAACAACAGCAGACTAGTGTAGCTCCACCTCGTCTTCAAAATGTATTAAAAAATCATGCTTCATATCAACCACACAAAGTTGAAACATCAGTGCCACCTCAATCACCAGTACAACCACCACCATTGAATCTTTGGACAAATAATAATATTCATGAACATACTCCAGGTATTATTCATCGGAAAAATAACTATCACTCAGGAATGATAGCTACGGTTTCCCGTATTTTTTTTGCTATAACTTCATCATAAATGGCCGTTTACAATGGCATCCAAGTCTTGTTTCATTGTAATTCTATTCACTGTAATACAATGTTGTATACAACAATATATCTACAGCATTATATGGTCGTATATATGCCGTATTCTTATTAAAAATATTCGTAAAATATCAATGTGATTTACGGTACAATACGACATATAAGCAGATCGTATATAAACATTTACGACCGAAGTTGTAGCGTATATTGTTTAATCAGGGTATACTAAAGAAAAATCCTTACGATTTATATATTAATGTTTGACAAAAAAGAAATTCATTGCTTTTCATTTTTTTTTAATTATGAGAATAATAGATTATTTCATTTTTCTTGCATAGGAATACCATCAATGCCTACATCTTCTATACTACCATCATCATCAACTCTACTTCCTACGACACCATCTTATATTCCAACTCATACACCGCCACCACAACCTGTTATTCCACCATCATCTTCAATACTGTCGGAAGGTTTATCATCATCATCGATGTATTGGGATCCAAATGGTTTTCTTCTGCCACCACCATCTCAATCAATAATTATCCCTTCAACTGCACCAGGTCCTGTACAACGACCAAATTCATCGTTTTCGCCAGCACCTGGTACTGTTAATAATACAACATCTCGTTGTATTCAACGACCTTCACCTGAACCACGTTCCTGTTCAACAAATCCTGCTCCTTTCCCACTTTATTCTCCTATGAATTATGCTGTAGGTAATTCAAGTTCAACATGGAATGATACGCCTGTTACAAATACAAACGAGTCACATTGGAACTATCCACAAGACCACCAGCAGCAACAACAACAACAACTTGGATTATCAACAACTCCAACTGATTTTCCTCTCTATGATCCATTTCATAGTGGTGCTGGACTAAAACTTCCATCAACGACAGAGAAAACATTATTGATAAATGAATTTCCAGGTAGATAAATAAATGAGAATCATTTTTTTGTATTTATTTCTTTGTAATTTTTCAAAAGAACCTTTTACTGATCTGTGTGCTAATTCTCAAGATAATGATTTTAATGAAATGGATCCATTTGATAAAGAAATTGAAGATTTTAAAAAGTAAATGATTATTTATTGATTCAAAATGAATTTTTATTATTTATTTTATTTAAGATTTTGTTTCGAAAGTGTCCCGTTAGAAACACGTGAAAAATTGCCAATTAATGTTGATCGCTGCTTTGTTCGTCAAGCTTGATGAAACTGAAGATTTTTTTTTTTATTTTCTCTCAATTTTGTTGTTTATCTTGTTCGCATTGTACAGATTTATCACATTATGCGAGAGAAAAAAGCACAGACCTATTGAGAGAACAAATTTATTCTATACTTATACGCAAACAATTTTTCTTCTTTTTGCCTTGTGCTTGCCTTTATATCATTAAGATATCAACATAAATAAAGACAAATGAAAAAGATAAATATACATTTATATAGCATATATGAATTTTACATAAAAGAAAATTATGAATAATAAGGATAAGGTGGTGGAGGTCCTGGAATTTGTTGTGTCGGTGGATAATTTATTTTGTATTCAATATTAACAAGTAATTGTCCAGCTGGTCCATTGTAATAATCTCTTAATGGAATCCATCGTTGCTGTTGAGGAGTCCAATTATTATTATTGTTTAATAAAATTCTTATTGGAATATCACCATTAGCTATTGTTTGTTGTTGATATTCTGTTTGAATCCAAATAAAAAGTTGATCATAATCAAATTGATAAACAGGAAATGAAAATTGTTGTTGATACTGTCCTGATGATGTTTGATATCTTTGATGATTACATTCCATAATAACGGTTAAGGGACCCCATTGATTTAATCCATCGATATGATTGACACTTATCAATAATTCACCATTGCCCATAGATGGCGGAAAAGGTACTGGGGGTGGTGGTCCATAGGATGCTTGTTGTGGTTGATATTGAGGTGATGGTGATATTGGATATTTGGTTTGCGATTGCGATGGTAGTGGTTGTGGTGGTGGAACCGGACTGGCAGATGAAGCATGTGAGTCATGTTTATTGTTTTTTCGATTTTTCCACCAATCTTGAGCTTTATCACATGCTGCATTGACAGCCCGATTTTCCAAATTTGATATAACTACCCATTCTGTTATTCGACCAGCGCGACCCAAAAAATCTGACATTCGAATTTCTATTCAAAAATTAACAACGTAGTTTTGTTTATTTTTTTTTTCGAGAACAAGCTTGATCTTTTCTGATTCTGTTTATGACGGATCGTAAACCAATGGTAGAAATAGAGAAGAAGAAAACTTTTTCTTTTCTCTTCCTGTATTACGTTAACCACTCATATTTCTCTGAATATCGCTGCTAAATAATGTTAAGGTTCTTTTGGCATTGAGAACAAAAAAACAAACGATGTCGCTTGTTCTTTGTCTCGTTTTTATGTGAAGCATTTATCAGCATGAATCAACGTAATTCTGTTTATTTCAATGCTTGCAGACATAATTATTAATGCTTGAAACTATTTAGTTTTCTTCTATCTTTCATCTTTGATTGAAGTCTTCCTTACAATTCATTTATGATAAAGTGATGAAACGATGATCTTTAAAGCAACATTTTCTTGTTGGATTAAGAAGAATTTAAATTTTTCTATGCTGTTGTTTTGTGTTGAAAATATCCTTATTAATTCATTTTATTAGTAACAACACATGATGCTTGACTATAAAATTAAACAATTGTTAATTACGGATCTGAGAACGGAGTGATTCTCGTAATTTTTTAAATTATATTCTTCATGAGAAACTTTTCCACATTATCAATTAATCAATTTAATTAATTTGTTTTTTATTTCATTGAGTACTGAATATAAAATTAGAATTAAAATACTGCATTTTTCGTCTAGGGAGTATCCTAAAATTTTTTGGCCATTTCTGGCTCTTGAAGAGCGATCAATCGATTCGCATGAAATTCTTACTATAAACAGGACATCTAAAATAAGACGAAATGTATTCGAGAGATAAATTTTAAATAAGGTTTTCGCGGTTTTTCAAGAAGTTCTAATTTTCCATACTACCACATCAGGGTTGCTGAAGATCTCCACTAATATTATCCGAACGGGTTGAAGTTTCGGCCAGAGATATTTGGAAGCATAGTTTTGGATCCGAACCTTTACGTATCTATTTCATAAAGAAAAATGATAGCGAGATTTTTGAAAAAGCTAAAAACCACTTCTGAGATATAATCTAAGGTATCTCGAAAAAAATATGAGCTCTATCAGACAAATTTATAGCGAAAAACTTGTTTAAAACTTTTCTCCTCGAGCACTTGTCTCCTTATTTTAGGTATTGTATCTGTGGTGAAAATTTCATGTGAATCAGGTGTACCGTTAATCACTTATAGGGTTCCTATCACCAGTCAATACTATTCATTAATTTTATTGGCATCATTCTTTATATGAAAAAAAAAGCAATACGATATTACAGATTTATACTCTCAATGTTTTTATGACATTTGTCTTTGCAATGTCTTTGGTAAATACACATGTATCACATATAAACATTATCATCTTAGAAGCTCCTTCTTATATTTCGATGGTCACTCAATCGTACATAACATTTTCGACAGACATGAATGGTTCTAGCATTTGCGATAGTCCTCCTAATTTTTTTACTGGCAACTTATTATTGTCTGTCGTTTGATTGTTTGAGTAGCTCAATTCAATATTGTTGGTAGTCTTCTTGACATTTTTTGTGGTAAATATAAATCAGTGACTCTCCCGAACATAGTTTAATGAGATGAAAAACTATATTTATCCTTGGATGCTAGTATAGAAATAAATTATGATCTACCCATGACTCATGGTTTTTCAACAGAATGATTCTTTGGTAAATGTGCAATATCATATACAACCAAGTCTAAATATAGAAATGATGTACTTGTAAAATAAAATTTCTTTTTTGTTTTGTAACAACTGAAGTTTGGCTTATAATACATTTAATGAGATTCATGGAGATAACTCCATCAAACCTTGTTAAGTCTTATCGAACATTCAATAGTTAAATTAATGATTATTTTCAATTAAAAAGTATTCAGGAATCTTTCATTGAAGTTGGTCAAAATCATACCTTTCTGATTGGATAATATTCACTATAGCGATACCATACTTACGATCAGAAATGTTCAATTTACGTAAAGTTTAATGAATATAAACAATATTTTAAAGAAAAGTTATAAATTTATTTTGTTATAGGTAAACATTATATTGACAATGAATTTGTAACTGTAACAACCTATTTAGAAGTGGTTGAACTACACAACTTGATTATAGTTTTTCCTGCAAGTTCATCCATCATTAATCTTTCTAATAAATTCCATGAGATATTCAGATCGGTGAAGACATAATTTAACAACTGTTCTACCATTAAATTCGGTTTACAAATATTGAGTATCAAAAAAATAATTGACACTATACAAATAATTCAAAATTTTATTGTTGCTTCTGCTTTATAGAAATAAAATTATTATTCGGATTCGAAATATGCTTTGAAAAACTATTCAAATGTCATACAGACATATTCTTTTCAATCGATAATTCCACTATTGTATAGTTGATAGTTAAATTTGATCTATATTCTTTATTCGTCTCAAATTTCAAAAAATCGTTTTATTTTATTTTCTTATTTCAATTTTTTTTCCTTTTTTCAAATGAAATACTTTTAACATCTTATTATCAATCGAAAGTCCTTCATTGAATCTCGTTTATTTTTATTAATTCGTTGGATGTATTAATGCATATAAAGCTATCGTTCGTAGTTGTGACAAGTAAGCAGCTAATTGTTGCGCAACACGAATAACTTTTGGATCTACTTGTGTACCTTTGACTTTAAAAGAAAATTCAGTTTTGACGTCGTCTATTTTTGGATAGTACATAATTTCTGCATCTGATTTTTTTCCTGCTAAATTAATACTAAACTCAGCTGTTTGCATAGTGACTTTGCCCAATGAATCAGGTACAATAATAATTGGTTGACCTGAACGAGTAACTTTACCAGCATCAATAAGAATTGAGGACAAATTGATTGGAGACATTTGATCGAAGTCAAATGATAGAGTTGTAGTATAACTATGTGCACTTTTAACGGTAAGCTCACCGTTGTCCGTGTGTATATCGAGCTCGAATTTAGCAACTGTGTTGTTAATATAATCTTCTGCAACCTGTAAAAAGAATGAAAACATAGTTAATTCAATTAGAAAAACAATCAAGAAACTTAAATTTTCGAGTTCTATTACTCGTTTTTTTTCTCTCAACAAGAATAAGAAGATATTTACCGTTAGCTGTACACATGCAAGAGCTGGATCAATATCTGAAATTTTCATCACAATATCAGCTGGCTCTGTTATTCTCTTTTGTCGTGTTTTAAATACTGGTCTTATATAAAAATCAGTTGTATTTCGACTATTATCCGAAACATATCGAGTAAAAGATATATTCTTGAATTTCAAAGATGATCGTGATACTTTGAATGGCATAATTTTTGCATCTTCAATTTTAACTAATTCATCAATAACTTTCATAACACCAGTTTCAAAAGAATTTGCCAACAAATCTGGTCGAAGAACAACTTGATACTCGCGTGATGTGTATTCACAATTCATCGACATGATTTTATGAGCATGATTAATCAAAATCCAAACAAATGAAATAAATAGTAACATTATTGTGTAACAATTTAATGCAGGTATGCTGTAAAACGAAAATGGACCAAAAATAAATATCTTTTCGTAAGCTATGAAGTGGTATCAATACGACTTAAGAGATAGATGTTGATAACTGATATCCTGTTTTCGTTAGTGGCCTTGGTGGCTTATCATAGATGAAACAAAATCTTAATTGATTTTTCAATATGATTTAGCATCAGGATATTGATGTTTTTCTTTCGTATTTCTTCGTTCGTAAATATATTAAATGTTAATCTGCTTTTAACAAGAATTGTCTAAGAAAAATATCACATGAGACACAGAAAAAAGCAAAAAAATAAATGTAAAGACTGCAAATTTCAGTTTAGTTAAAGAATGAAGTTGCTCATGATTAAGAGAATATACATAAGTAAGGCTTTTTTGAATAAATAAAATACTACTGATGTATTTGTCCTTTTGCTTTCTCTTTTTTATGTAACTTGACAAAATTTTTGCTGATGACCATCTCGAAATAAATAATAACTTCTCTACTAAAAAGTGTACCGTTCAGATTTTATAAATCTGATATCGTTTATTGTATACGATTTCATATAATAGAAGAGTTTTTTCTCATATCATTAATTTTAACATAATTTTCTATATTTGAACGAACGATAGAAATAAGTCCAGGACTTTGTAGAAATAATGATTTGTGTTGACTGTTATGAATATTTTAATTGTTTGTTTAATCAGTTTTAACTATTCTTATCAAATTATAATCGATTGAGTAGAATCTTGATCAAAATTCGTGTTCATGTAAGATCATAATCGATAACATATGTATATTCAAGAATGCAATTATATATAATGAAAATGTTATTTTTGGTCGGTTAAATCAACAGTTTCGACTGACTGATTCGATCAGAAAAAGCTCTACTAATTCCAAGAATGATATTTCTATCAGCTGCGACGATAGAAAATGTTTAATTTATGGTGTTACTATCATGAATATATTGATCATAATACTACCAACTATCTATTTTTGCAAACTACTTTCTGTACAGATCATTCCAATTCTTACGTTAAATGTACGTCGATAAGTCCAACCAATAAGGTTGTCAATCTTAATTTCATTATTTCTAATCACTTGTATTAAATTATGATATACACCAACATAATCAAGCATCCTATTGCCAGAAATATGACAAAACAATTTATAATGAGTCTAATGATCTAGTCGCTATCCTCGTATGCTCGTAGCAAGTATAAGTCGAGTAACTAAATCTTGAGGGAACAGATGAAGGTGTATGAATGAGTGGTTTAAATTATTAGTCACATCCGACTCTCACCCTCGTTCATATACAGATAGAATATCTGATTCATATTTATCAATCTGGTCTATTTTAAATTATGAACATGTAAAAATGACTTTTATAGAGACACAGACTCTTATATGAAAGAAAACATGCTATTGTATTCTACCGTTATTAATGAATTACAAAATCAAGCGTTTCCAAGTACGATTGCATCAAAATTTGACACATATCCATGGCAGATGATCTATTTTATAGTGTGTTTGAAATAAAAAGATAAAATGCAAATGGAAGGATATTCATATCAAAGATCATTTAAACAGCAGTATGCTCGTTTCTTTTGCAATTATTTTTAGAACGTAGAAAAATCTGATATGAGACAAAGTCCGACGACGAAAAAATATGTTGTTATAATTGTTTATCTGAATAAATCGATAAATCCTATTACAAAGATGAACAAATATGATTATAAAATAAGATATTCTTTTAAAATAATGTTGTTTATATGAAGAGTAGTATATTAAACAACCTGTTGTCAGAGATCTGATTACAGCATGTTTTAGTGACTTTTTATTAGTAATTTAACTTTCGAACATTTGATAGTTTCATAGAATACTGTTCTAAAGACTTCGTTTTGTATAGCATACGACAAATTCTATTGACAGTAAAAATTGTAAATCATTCACTGCAAAACTCGCACAGAAATCACTGAAATAATAAGCAGTTATAGAATAAGAGACTAATCTGTTATTTCATTTTTTATCTTTTTTTTAAGCATTACACATAATCGATTATTGTCAAGTAATCGTCTACGTAAAATATGTCATGAAAAGATGCTTATTGATTATTTAAGTAGGAATTGAAGCACATAAGAGTAAGTCGAGCGATTAAATACTATTCCAATATGTCCTGCATCAATGTACTTGACATTTGAAGGAAGTGTTTCTACCAAGGCACATTTTTTATAAGCCATTAATGCATCAAATTCTGCATTAACATTGAATAAATTATCAAGTTTATTTATTTCACGCATACAATTTATTTCTATTTGATTTGAAGGAAGTGCAACAGTTATTATTTTTCCAACATGAAGATTTGGTTGTGGTGCCGATCGAAATTTCAAATTACCTTGTACATCAATGTATGAACAATCTTGAGTAAAAGCACTGTATAAAGCGAGATTTCCACCGATCGAATGTGCAACAATATCGACAAGAGGAATAGTATTAGAACTTGTTGTATTCGTTGTAATTCTAATATTTTTGTTCTCTTGCCATGTTCTTTGTAATTTCATTGTCGAGATTTCGTTATGCATGGTACCGAGTGATTCTTGATCGATTTGACCACAATGAGTTTCATTATTCAATTTCTGATAAGAATCGTAATAGAGTTTTCTTATTTCTTCGATTTTATCGAAAACTCTCTTACGTGTCTCTTCTGTAGGTAATCCAAAACCAAGATTTATAACAAAGACGGGTATATGAACACTTTTTAGTAGAACTGCTAAATCTCCAAGATAGGACCATGAACCAATAGCACCATGTAAGATTAATACAGGACGACGGCGATACTGTCTTTCATTCCATTGATTAAGACCGTATACCTGTGGATCTTTGCGATATTTTTTAAATGTATACCAGACAGCTTTGCACAATGAATGTCCTTCCAAAATTAACATTCCGTAAAATTCTCCTGCAGCAGGTGAAATATGCTGTTGCATAATTTGGACTAGAAATTTATTGATAAGAAACCAGATGACATAAAGTTTATGTGCTGCTACAAAAATCCAACTTGCATAAAAACTAGAAGCAAAACTATTCCATGTCTTGTTTATGTAAGACTTAATCGGTCTCATTTTGTATTTATCTAAAACATTACATTCTAGATATATTAATGTGAACTGAGACTTTCATGTCAATTTGTTTCTATCTACTTCTGATTAACTATATAATTTTTGTGTCACGAAAAAGGAATGACATTGTCTCAGTTTTGGTTTAATGTTTTTACTCATGAAATACATAAAATCATTAGTCAAGTATTGTCTTATGATTAATGTAAGTTCACTGTAAAATGTTTCTAAAAACAAAAGTTCAAATCGCATTGAACTTGATTAATGAAACTTTTCGTGCTATCAACTACGGACTATTTTATTTTTTGGATAAATTAGTATCGAATTCAACTTAATCAATTACTACCTAAATAAAATGAAATCTTACACGTTTACAATAAAAAGTAATGGATTCAACGTATCAGACATTAAGATTGTGAAAATTGGTATGCTAACAGTATGAGAGCTTTATTATGTAAAAAATTGATTGAAAATATATACTTACAACCAATTATATTTAAAAAAATGACCTTGATTCAATGAATCACTCAAATCTATAATATATGATTTAGGTAGATCTTTTTTCACTTGTACTATATAATAATAAAAAAAGTAAAAATCTTCTATTAATAATTACTGAAAGTATATAGTAAGCTCTTCATTTATTGATAAAGAATTAACTGTATTTCTTTATATCTTTTATCATTGATATTAGTCGAAATTCATGAAAAAATAAATTCTACTATGTAATGTGAAAATATAGTAAACATTCAAAAAATAAATCCATTCATCGTCTATTCAAGCAAAAACTATACTTATTTCTTATTGATACAATAGTGTTACTCAAAACACTTTGTCGCTAAATGTTGACAGAGCATTTTTGTTCTTTCTTTCTTTCAATTTTTTCTAAAGTTGTAGTTCGTAAATCTCCTTCATTATTTTTTTCTTTTTCATTATTAAACTGTATTATATATGATTATGTACAAAAAACTAATGTGCGATTCTGATTTTCATAGGGTTCTATCCCGATTGCTTATAATCTTCATCTCACTTTGTTTTATGAAAGTGAAATTTTTACTACTGATACTTAGAACCATTCTTCAGACATAAATTGTTCTTTTTCGTTTTTGACTTTCATCGTCGTGCGTATAGCATTTTGAAATCCACGACTTTGATTTTGGCATCTAAATTTTACGTATTTCAAAAAGCTTTCAGCTCAATTGAATAAAGTTTGATGCCAGTCATAAGAACCCAAGATGTGACCCTATAAAAATCAGGGTTTTCTAGATAAAAAAAACCCACAAAAATCCATTTCAAAATTTTTTATTCGAACTAGTGCTTGGTTATTTTTTGTGCTCTATCTTGATAAAAGTTTCAGCTTGATCGGATATACCGTTTTCAAAAACCAAAACAATCACAAAATGTGTACGAATATCTATAAGATAGCAGAAGAAAAATAAAAAATCAACTTTTTTGAACAAAATTGATACTCACTATTGATATAAAGAGATTAAATTTGTTGGATAGAACTCTAGTCTAGATCGATCATTGTTACAAGTTCATCTTTAAACTATTTGCAGAAAAAAATAGTTGATTTTTTGAGTAATTAAAATAACCTGCAACGTTATTCATGGTTGTAAAATTAAGTCAATTTGAAAACATATTTCTTCAAGTATCGATAAAAAAAAAAGTAATTAATCCATGAAATTAATTATTCTTTATTAACATTAAAAGAGCAAAAAGCGACAATTCTCTCACTTCCTTGTTGATATACGACATCTGTAAACATATGTCAATAATTGTTTTTTAAAATTTAACCAATTATTTTTGAGTTCGTTGTGTAAGTAAAGCAAAGGAAATAATATAATTCATAACTTTCTTTCTTCCTCATTGCACTTTTTACAACTTATCAATTGAAACAAAACTTTAATTTTAATTTACATCATTACATAATTATGTCATCGTCATATTCATTTACTGGTGGTAGTTTACGTTTAAAAGGTGACTCATCAAGTACAATTCAAGATGGAAAAATTTCCAAGAAACATAAACATAAAAATAAATCAAAATCATCAAAAATTGTTGAAGCACCTTCATCAAAAATGGAACATGTTGCATCGACAATAAATAATAATTCAGTTGATCAACATGGTCCATCAGGTAGTGGTTCAATACGTCGTGATTTACGTACACCAGCTGAAATAGCTTATGATGAAGCAATGGCTAAACGTGCTGAAGAAAAAGTTCTACGAAAAGCAGCTAGATCTCATAAAGAACAAGTTGAAGAACTTAATTCTTATTTAGATAAACTTACCGAATATAATGATATTCCTAAAGTCAGCTGGACAAAATAAAAATTTGTATTATATTATTTCAATAAAAAATACATATAAGAAAAAACAAAAATATTATTCTTTTTTTTTTTGTTTCGAATAAAAATTTTCTTTTTCAGATTTTCACAGAAAAAAAATAAAATGTCTCGATCAATGGATGAGGATTTTACATATTTTGTAAAAATTGTTGATGAAGATGGTGATCGATATTATCTTAAAAGTTCAATTGATGAAAGAACAAATACTATATTAATGCAATTAACTAATTTAAAAGTTGGATGGATAGGAACATGTAAATTTTAATTTTAGTTTTCTTATTTAATAAATTATTTATTTAAATATATTTAGTAAATCAACATCAAGTTCGAGCATTAGCAAAAAAATTTCCACATGAAGAACATGATACATTTTATTCACATACACAACGTGCTTTTTCCAAAGGAAATCATTCTGAAGCTGATGGAAAAACTTATGTTTTTACTTGTAAAAAACTAGAAAAAAATCGACTTGAAGTATGAAAATTTCTTTTCAATATAATTATATTATATTGCAGACAATAGTTTAAATGAAAATATAGAAAAATTTTTAAATTCATTTTTGCAAGAAAATCTACTTTATTTTTACTAAGAATTATTATTGATATTTCTTTTTTTTGTTGCTGTGCGATTTCATAGTAATCTAAAATGATACTTTGATTTGACCTGTCTTGTATCAGCAGGAAAAATTGTACAGTACCGGATGCATCGATTTTGCAGCCGTAGTTTTTGAGTGTTGAGAATCCATTGTTATATCAATTTTTTATAAGAGTTCTGCTCGAAGATATTGTTAGATTCCGCCGAATTTAATAATAGAGTTTTTAGAATTGGAAGATGTTTATGATAGCATCGAATAGAGCATTCAATGGTTGAGTACGACTAATGTGAAGCGGTATTTTCTCAGTAATACAGATAGATTATCTTTGTCTTGATATTTCTGGAATTCGCTTATCGATACTCAAAGGCAATTTATATCCAATAATCACAACTATAAGTTTTCATCAGTAGTTTGCAAATACTCTGTCCGATACTATTCGATCATTTCTTTGAATATTACCAAAAAAAAAAGGATTACGAAAATGATCGGAATGTGTATTAAACTTCATGAATTTCAATCAGTTCTGAAAACTTTTTAAATTTGATGAAATTTAATAATATTTTCAGATAGAGAAATCAAGACTGTTATAAATAAATGGTAAAACCATTAGTTCTTAACACTCAATAATCACAGTTCAAGAATAATTAGTGCATACCTACGTACATAACTTTATTGTCCTTTTTAAAGTAAACTATTTTGAATCTATCAGAAAATTTATCCTGAACTAAAGGAGAAATTGAATAATTAATATGGACAACAACCTAATTAACAAAATATTCAAAGACTTTTAGACAGATAGATTTTCCTAATGAATTTTCTTTCTTCTAAAGTCGAAGTATCAAATGAACTATAGTTATTCGAAACAAAAAAAAAACAATGAAGGATGGTATAACAAAAAGAATATTGTATAATATTTATTATGGAAATATTTTGCATGAAAAAAAAAATAAAAAATTTTATTTCTTTTCTAAGAATTTGACAGCGAAATATTTGACATTAATATTTGTATAGTTATGAAATTTATTTGTTTCAGTTCGTATGGAAACAAATGGTCGATGATCTTAATTCATTGAAAATTATTGGTAATGCTGAATTGCAAGAACGACCGATCGAAGAAGTAATTGATCAATTTGATTCATTAAAAAAAAATGATCTGTATAATATTATATTAGGTATTAGCTAAAATGATGGATCATTCTATTGATGAAATGGAAACATTACGATCAGCAAATGAACAAAAAATTTTTGAAATTCAACGTATTAATGGTCAACTGAATAAAGCTCTTGAAGTATATTTAAAAAAATAATTTTTTTTTTTTTGTTTTTGTTTTGACTGATTCATATTCTTTTCTTTTTCAGACGGTTAAACAAACGGTTGATATGAAAGAAAAGTTGGAAGGTGATCTTTACCGAAAGGTAAATAGATAAATAATCGATATTTATAATAATAATAATAGAATACATATTTATCAGAATAGAAAAAAACAATTTCATAAATTAAGAAGTACTAGTCCTTTGACTTGTTGTTTGATTATCGATAGTTAACAAACGTTTTCTCATATTATTGAGCATTTGTAAAAGAGTTTGTTCTAGTTGTGGTATTGTGTTTATAAAATCATTGGAAATTTTTTCTATTAATGATGGATAATCTTCTTTAATAATTTTTGTCCAACCATCAGTTATTAAATTTAAATCAATTGGATTAGGCTCTTTCCATGTAGCAAAACGTGCTTCGTATGCAATAACAAATTCATTAATAAAAGAACATGAATCTGAATATGATGATAATAATGTTTCAAGTTGATTTTTTAATGTACGTATTGTTGTTCGTCCTTCACGATCGAATAGTTGACTTATGATTGATAGAGATTGTTGATTAGTAACAATGTTTAATGTTTTTGATAGAACTTCAAGTGCTGCTTTAATTTCATCGTTTTTTTCAACATATAAACCGATTTGTTTTCGAGAATCTAAACCTGAACAACAATTTTTTAATAAATAATCGAATATTAAAAATCGATTAGTTTTCGATTGAAATTGATCTAATAATGTTTGTTTTAAATAACTCCAATATTGCGATATTTGATTAATATTTTCATTTGTTTTTATAGTCAATACTTCAATAAGTTTTTGAACAGTTCGATCTAATTCTGTTTTTCGTTGTTTACATTTTTGTACACGTTGAACAGTATTTGAATATTGATCAGTAAGATTTACAAATTGACGAAGAGGTGTAACAGGTAAGTTTGTTTGTATAGATTCTGTTTTTGATGTTTCTTGAATATTGGTATTAATAGTTAATTTTTTTCGAAGAATACTTTTCGTTGAATTTGTTTGTTTAATAACAGATGGTGAAGAATTTTTTGTTACACTATCTTTATTAGATACATTAGGTGATCGATGACGTCGAGAAGGACTCATTATTCTATGAAAAATAGTAGATTTTTTCTTTGTATTTGTAATTTCTGATGGATCTGTATTTTCATCTACATTATTTTCTTTGACTAATGTTGGTTTCGTTAATTCAGTTGTTAACTGAAAAATAAAAAACAACATAAATATTGACAATTAGTTTTTGGTTTTTTTTTTGTTTTTTTACCAACCTTCTTTTCGTTATTAAATGATCGTGGTTTAAATATTTGACTATCTGAAGATTGATCATTTTCATCCGAATCTAATGTCATACTTATATTGACTGTTTCATCTGTAGATACATCTCGATAATCATATTTATTTGTTTTTGAACTATCTCGATGACTTTGAACGTGTTGTTTATAACAATTTATACAAAATACACGATAGCAGTCAGAACATGTATCAATTTGTTTTGATGGATGTAATTGATGACATTGTTCACATAAAAGTGTATTTATTAATAATTGTAATGAATGATCTTCTTCTAAATCTTCTAAAGATTTTAAGCGATGTAAACGTGAACATTGTGGACATTGTACTACTATTGTTGGATTTGGAATTGGTGATAAATAATTGTTTAGATGAGTTGGTGCTGAACTTGCATGAACGTGATGTTTGTTTTCTATACATTGAAAACAAAATGTATGTTTACATGGTAATATAGTTGGTCTTTTCATTGGTAGCGAGCACATAGGACATATTAATTGTGACAATGTTGAATCGGAATTTGTTGGAACAACTAAATTAAATATATCGACAGAACGAGCTGAATTGCTACGACGATGACTTGGACTATGAAGAATATCTGCATGACTATGCCTACGGAACTGAAAACAAAAAGAAATTATTATTAAAAAAATTAATGAAAATTTCTAAACATTCTTCTAGATTATTCTGTTTATATTTGCTTTTTTTTGTTTTCATATTCACCTGTTTATATTGTTCATTCTCTTCAATGACACAAGACAGTTTTCTTGTGAAAGAATACATGAGAAAATCTTTCGGATGAAACGTATTTGAGATTAATTTTAGGGGAAAAAACCTAACATTAATGAGAATAATATAAGCTAGTTGAAGATTGAAATGTACAAATATGATTAATGCGTTGTCATAGTTCGTTTACTTCATGTCAGAATCGATGCTTAATAGGTATCTGATCAATCAAAGAAAATTAAATGTGACATATGATATCATAATATGCGCAGTTTCCTTCAACTTATTTATGCAGCACTCTATACAAGTAATCGAGGAAGAACAAGAAAAAAACAAGACTTATTTTTTGTATACATTAACGAATAATTTTTAAAGAAATCAATTACTTTTCGTTTTACTCGAATAATAGAATTATAACAGAAAATCGCGAGAAATAGTACAAATTAATTTTGAAAAGAAGGATTTGTTGTTTATTCTTACCCATTTGGATTTCTTTGATTCAAAGGATCTCTTTCTACTATGACGGAATTCAGTGGATAAACAAAGCAACATCATAGTGATGTAGTTTCTGACACTGTCGTTTAAGTCACGATTACATTTGCAAATTTTCTTTTTGTTCTTTTACTTCGTATGTGTATATTGATTTTATTACGTTTGAGTGTTTTTTATATACTTAATATGGCATACATTAGACTGTTTCGCTCTGATTTCCTTTCTGTTTTTATTGAAAAAAAAATAATGATGTCATTCTAATAACATGATATTCGATAAGAAATAATCCCACTTCGAGTTATAATATAAATTTAATAATATATATAATCTTACCCTTGTAGTTTCTGTTAGTGGATCGTTCATGATTAAATGTTGAATGTAACAATGAGTTGAAGAAAAAAAAAATGAAAAAGAAATAAATATTTTTCGTTGTGCAATAACTTTTATTAGTCATCTGAATCGAAATTGTTTTGTTGTGTAGGCGGCTCTTTGTCGTTTTATTTTCTTCGTTCTTTTAGTTACCAATAGCAAGGAATTCTTGATAATTGTATCAGACGTCAGTAAACTGCAAAACAAGAACAAAACCGTGTTGCACCTTCAGCATACATAACAATTTTACTTTTAATGATTTTTCTATCAAGTAAAAGGGATAAGAAAAAGAAAACGAAAAAGTTCTGTTTTGACTTTATTTGAATATGTCATGACTGATAAAATAAAAATTATTTAAAAAAAAATCAAAATAAGTTAATAAAAAAAGAGATTTATTGTCAGTTTTATGATCACCATCAACTTGATATAATGTTGTTTTGATTCTTTGGAATGATAAAAATGTTTCTAAGTTTTTTTTTTTTTTTGGTTTTCTTTTAGTTTGTCTTGGTGCTAAATACTAAAAAAGGAGAATTAGCTAAACTTAAACGTCAGATTGAATCATACGAAAATGAACATATTAATAGAATTAATGGTAATTGATTTAATTAAAAAAACAAAATTTATTTTTCAAAAAAAAAAAAATAATAATAAAAAATTTCTTTCAAGGTAGTGAACATTCCGATGATGAAGGAAATCCTGCTGGATATAATAGTGGTACTGATGATGAACGTTCAAATGATGCATTTGCTAATTTACGTGCTCGAAGTCGATCACCTGTACATACAACAGCAACATTAAATGACGATGAACATATGAACACAGGTGAAAATAAACGAACAAGAAGTACAATGAGTGATACAGATACAAGTGGAGATGAAGATCAATTTATGGAAGATGAAGTACATGAGGTTAATAAAAAAAAAGTTTTTTTTTTTTTCTATCGAATTGAAATCAATTTTGTTTTATTTTCATTTGAATCAGATACAAATTCCAATTCGGCAAGCAAGTCAATCGGAAATAAATATTGGTCCTAGTCAAGATAGTCTACTTGATTTAGGTGATGATCGACTAGATTATAAACTATCAACTATTAGTAAACATCATCAACGGTATGAATTATTGCAAAGATATAAGTTTGTTTTTAAATATATATTCTATTTTCTTATTGTAGACGAAAATATGTTACCGGTGCTAATTCGATTTCAACTCGTCCATATCTTAGGTATGATAAAAAAAAAAATGTAAACATTATTTTATTAAATTAAATTATAACCTCTTTTTAGTCATGCTGGTGCTGGTATTCCGCCAACCTTGACAACACCATCATTACCTGAAGAATCGCAAACAACCGATGATTTATTAGAGAAAATCTAATTGAAAATATTTTTCTGTAATTGTTGTTGTTTTGTTTAATATTTGTAAATATTTGTTTTTTGATGTTTGTTTCCATCCGTTAAATGCGACTGGATATTCATATAGAATAATACATAATGTAGTTCTTATTGTTGTAGATAAATATGAGTACAACATCAGATACATATGCTTGTGGTGCATGTACCTATATTCAATCTATAAAACGACCAACATGTGAAATGGTATTTGTATATTTTGTTTTTTGATAACAATCGTTCGTATTTATTAATCTCTTGAATGTAGTGTGAGACGCCTAATCCAAATTTTGTTAATCCAAACCATGAATCAGAAGCAGGAGCAACTGCAGGAGCAGCGCTGTTTGATTCTCAAAAAGGCGATCAAGTAATTGACTGTATCCAATGTGGTTATATTAATATTGGTAGTCATATGCAAAGTGTGTCTTGCTAACAATAAAGGCAACGTTTTCTAAATAAAACGAAGGATTTCATATTTTTCTAGTTTGCCAAGGCTGTGGACAGAGTCTTTATAATTTCCGTGGTTTATTTACAAATTTTAATATGGATCTTGACAATCGATATCCTAATGATGAATCTGATGACAATAAATCTAATGATGATGATGATGATGATGATCAGGATGTTATAATGGTAGATAATACTGAAGAGTCACAAAAGAAAGGTCCATCAGGAAAAGCAGCTGCTGCTGTAGAAAAAGGAATGGATGATAAGCAATTAGTACCCTATATGAATCGATATTTATTGATATTGAGAGAACAACAACAACAACAAAGTCAATCATTTACATTAGATTATTTAAATGAGTGTATGACTGAACTTTTTAATACACTTGAATATAAAAATGATGAATCAGATGGTAAACAAAATAAAAGTTTTCTTGTTTTATATTATTTTCGTGGAGTTATTTATTTAAGGTCAATTAACTTTTCCTGCTTGTCAAATTTGTTGTGATGAAGATGCACCAATGATTACGATGAAAGTAAATCCGACATATTTATACGTATATATTGATTAGCAGCATTTTATCTAGATATTAATTTCAGGAAGAACGATTTTTAACTTCTGAAGGACAAAAACCAATTTTTAGGAGCACAGACACAGAGTACATGGTACAATAACTACAAACTCTGAGAGATCCAATTCTAGTTTCGAAGAAATACCACTCCCCTCGATTTCATGCTCGATAAAATACTCTTGAGTAGATTAAACAACATCAAATAGTTTTTAAACATTTATTATATAAAATTCAAGGTTATTCAACAAATTATTCTATGAACATAAAATATTTTCTACTTCAAAATGTAGAGTTTTTCGATTTCATTCGAAATAGATTGAATAATGTGATATATTGTTGAAAAAATATATGTTATACAACAGAAATCCACGAGATATGAAAAAAAATTATTCTTTTCAGAAAAACATTAATATTCAATACAACAAAAATTAATGCAAATAATCAGAGCTGGATAAATACGAGTACATACTCATACTCGAAGGATCGGTATTAGACATGTACTAATTTCAATGCTTAAGATTTTTCGAAATTGGTCTTGCGAAAATTGGAATCGAATTTTTTTATTTATATGAATATATATAAAATTAGTAATTCTACAATAATCGATTTCAAATCGAGAAGTGGAATTGAAATTAGTGTATCTCTATTCAGTACTTGTCTTTGAGAAAACTCGTACTTGTCCAGCTCCGATAATTATTCATTTCAAAGATTGGAATATATTCTTAAATGAATAAAAACAAAATCCATACTGTATTTGATTAGAGGAAACATTCTAAATCTCAGGTGACAATCGATGGGTTTCTATCACGAGTCGTGATATAAATAAAACGAAACATTTATTTTCATAAGACATTTTCTACTACAGAAAATGTCAATACCAAATAAATTCATTATTTATATAAATAGAATTTTGTTTTTGTGCTTACACTCGTATAATAATGTATACCACAGTATAAAACTCGTATTCAATGTATACTTCCGTGTTCTAATCTACTAAATATACTAACTGTAATCGCCCACGTATTTATTCCATGCTTTCATGCTAAGTTAATTCTAAAGTATTGCGAAATAATGAAAATATCAACGTGTTTTTGTTGTACAGTTTTTGAAAAGTGTATCAAAAATATATATCATATTCTGTAGAAAAAAAAATTGTTTTTTTCTAAATTTGTAGGCTTGTGGTCATCGTGTAGTTTGTACCAGTGATTTTAATCGATATTTATCAGTACGTATTCGTGATGGAGATATCCTTCCATGGATTCCATGTCCAGCTGAAACATGTTTTGTTCCATGTCATGTAGACAATATTACTCAAGATGGTAATTTAACATATTCTGAACTATTATCATTCATCACAACATTTATGTTAAAAAAATTATCTCGTAATGAAAATTTTATTACATGTATTAAATGTGAAAAAGGTGGTTTTCTTCAAATGGGTCCACCAAAAAAACAACAAGTTACATGTCCTATATGTCATGAAAAACAAATAATTGAAAAAGGTGTCGATGGTGCTCTTGATCCTGGTATGTTATTTATTATTGTTATTTTTATATTATTCAATAATACACTGTTTATATTAAATAGCTTTTAAAAAAATGATTCAATCAGGAGAATTACGTGAATGTCCAACATGTCGTCATTTAACTTTAAAAGAAAAAGGTGTATGTAATGTAATTGAGTGTGCTAAATGTGGAATATGGTGGAATTGGAGAACTAAAGAACAAGGACATAATGGCAGAGATTTAAAACAACGTGCCCGAATGAATGGAACACTTTGGGAAGCTGGTAAAAAGAAACGAGATCATTAATTTAATATTTTTCTATTAATTCTTTTTTCTTTTTGGTTTTGTATAGGTGAACTTCGATATCAACAAGAATTAGAAGCACGAAATCCAAAAGAATTCAAAGCTCTATTAGAACGAAATGGAATTAAATATGATCCAAATTATATAAGAGGCGGTTGGCTTGATCAATAACTTTATTAATATACATATATATATAAGAGTTTTTATCGAATTTTCTCTGCTACTCACCATAAAAGTTTTGAAAAAATTTTTGTGATATATTTTTTTTGCGAAACAGAGGTTTAGTATGTTTAACTTGTTTTTCGAGTTATACGCTTTTTTTTTTTTAAACTTTCTTTTTCTTTAAAATTTCCGACACAATTGATTATAAAAAACCAAAATACGTTTATATTTATTAATCTGGATAAAACGATGAAGTTTTTTCATCTATTTTAGATAAGATGTATTCAATAGCAAATAAACCGGAACAATGTATTGAATGTGAAGAAAATAATAACAAGGATGGTTGGTTTATTTGTCAAGGTTTGAATTTTAATTTTTTATTTAAATATTTAATAAACGGATCAATAATTATAGATATATATATATATATATTTATAGAATGTCATCGAATATTTTGTAGTCGACATAGTATTAGTCATCGTCATCAATTAAAACAAGAACAACCATCAACTGAAAGATATAACCGTCATGTTCACTTAGATCAAATAGCTGAATGGGAACGAAAAGCTATTGATAAAATTCGTAAACAAGCAGATGAAGCTCGGCGTCCTTTAATTGCACCACCAACACCAATAACTCAAACATCACCATCAACAATGCTCATCAATGAACTACGTAATGTTTCACTTACACAATTATCAACTGCATCATCTAATATTGAAAAACAAGTATTATAATTAATTATTTTTATTTATAATTTTAATAATATTCTCGTTTTTCTCTTATAGTCACCAATTATTGATCAATATGAATTATTATCTGATGAAACATTAGATGAAATAATTGGTGATAGTCCTCTAACATCACCTCCTGATGAGATACATGTTACAGGACGTGTTTCATTTGCTAGTCAATATCCATATATGACTGGTGTACATCGTCTTCGACTTTCATTGGATACATTTGATTATCCATCATCATGGGCATTTGTTGGTATTATATCTGAAGGAGTTAGATTAGAAAATACAGAATATCCAAATTATTTAAATCGATCATCATTTGGTTGGCATATAGGTCGTCAATCTATTATATATGATAGACAAACTTCTACTATATATAATTATGATGGTCGAGATATTCGACAAGGTGATATTTTGAAAATTATTATCGATTGTAATCAAAAAACTATTGAAATCAAAAATGAAAGAACATTAAATACACATCTTATTTCTATTAATAGTAATCATTGTCCATTACCTTGGTTATTTGCAGTTAATTTTAACTATAAAAATAAGGATTCAATGCATTTGTTACAGTGATTTTTATACTATTGTTTTACTAGTCATTCTACGATCAGATGAACAAATCATTTGTATTTTTAGATCAATATAAAAAAACAAAAACGTTTTCTTTGTTATTTTTTGAAATTTTATATGATATTTATATTTTTAACATGACTATAAGAAAATGATATAGAAATTTATAAAAGTAAGTCTTATTGTTCGATTTTTCGAAAATAAAAATCGAATGATGTCTATAAGACGATAAAATGAAATAATCTATTCATTTGGATTTTATATGTACGAAAAAGATATGATAAATTATTTTCGATGTAAAATCCTCACTAATATTGATGATTATTGTTATACATTACGTCAGTAAATGTTCTCAATTTCATCGACGTTATTCTTTGTAATCGTTTATTTTCTATGTGTCAGTTTACGTAATCGTTACAAGACATTTCACTGAGTCAAGTACATGAGTCACATTGACACATATTAATTATTGTGCTATGATCGGATAATATGTCATGAATACTTTCGAAATATTTATAGAACAAAAGGGAACAATGACAATAGTGAATAAGTAAATGATTTATGTTGTTATGATTGGTTGATTATGACATCTTATCAATCAATATGAAGACACTTTTATCTAATAATTTAAATTAATTATTGAGAAATTAGTTTAAAATATAAACATAAGTTAAATTTAATAATAAAAATTCAACTTATAAAAAAATAAATAAAGCTCAAAGTTTAATTTAAAAAAAAATTGCAAATCATATATTTTATTTCTAGATGAACTATGGTTTGGAATATAATAGTTCCGATTGTTGGTCGATATGCAACTATAATTACTTTGCCAGTTGCCATAGGTATTATTTTGTATTTTATTATTATTATTATTATCATTCGTTTTTTTTTCTTATAGTTTTGGGCAGTCTTGGATATCTAATTGAACGACGTTTGCGTGGTATACCATATACTCCAGTTCCTCATGAAAAAACTATTATAGATGAACGAGTAGAACGACAAAATCAACAACAAGTGACAGCTTCTCCTTATAAAATGGACACTGTTGTACCAAAAACTATTTTTGAAAGAAACAATCCTGATGATTTAAAAAAATTTAGTTAGAAAATATTGATATTTAGTAATTTTTTATATTAATATAAAGATCTAACGCACAACAAAAAAAAAAGAACAACATATGATTTTTTTTTGTCTTCTTCTATTTAATGATACTCTGATTGAAATGATTGATGTTTCGATTCTTTAACGGGTCTTCTTGCTCCACTATTATTGATAATACCTTTCAACATATAAATACTTAATATTAATCCAAATGAATTTTGTATTAAGGCAAAAATCAAATCACTAATTTCTTCTGCCATTGATTTTTTATCAAAAGAATTAAAAGGATAATATAATGATTGTTTAATATAACCTGAAAAATAACCATAAAAATCAAAAATAAGTTGAAGACATATAAGAGCTGTCAAAAAAATAAGTGAAATTAAAAGTAGATCAGCCATTTTACGCCATGTTGCATAGAGAAGAAGAAAACGATAGATTAATGAAGCACAACCACCAACAACAGCTCGAATATGAATATATGTATATGGATGTGCAAAAGGTGATGATAACATTGAACAATGAAAAATAACTTGTTTAACATATACAATAGTATGACAATTGAGATAAATGTAAAAACATATTAAGAGAAGACGTAGTTCAGTAAGATGAGATGAACGCATTTGAAATGTATTTGCTATGATCAATAATGATTTAATACATTTTTATGATTTTTATTTTTCTACAATTAATAACAAGCGAAGATAGAATAATATAATAATAGAATACTTGACATTCATTTTATTACTTTACATTTATAGAATATTTTATTGGAAATAGTTGTAAAAGAAAAATTTAATGGCTAAATCATATGTCACATAATTTATTTTTTTGAAACTTTTATTTATATGATATGTAAACATAAAACTATATATATTTTGTTCGTTGTAGTATATTTGAATGTTTTCATCACAAACTGCTATTGTTGTTGGTCTTGGTGGTATTACTAATGGTGGTAAAACAACGATGTGTGACTTTCTTGAACGTCTATTTTCTTCTAATAAATATAATCTTGATGTAAAATCATTACATATTGATGATTATTTTCGTTCAAATGATGATTCAAATCATATACATCTGGATAAATATAATTATCACGATTGGGATTGTTTAAATGCACTTGATATAGATCGATTTATGAAAGATTTTCAATCTATTTGTTTGCAATGTGATCTTTTATTAGTTGAAGGTTTTCTTATATTTAACATAGTATCTCCATCAAAAGATGATTATCTATATGATTTAGCTTATCATTTTGATTTACCATATGAAGAATGTCGCAAACGACGATTCGAACGAATTTATGATCCACCAGAGCCAGAAGGTTATTTTGACGGACATGTTTGGAATGCATATATTAAAGCAAAAAAAGAAGCATTCGAACAAAATAAAACTATAAGATTGGAAATTATCGATACATCTAAAGAATCGTTTGAAAAAATTCAAGAAAAAATTATTAAAGATATTGAAATAGCTTTAAAACTGTGTTCAAAACAAAACGACATAAAGTAAAATGTTGTTTTCTTTTTATGATAATGATTTGCTCAATTCTTAAATAAATAATAAAATAGATTTTAATTTGATCAAATCTAGTTTTTTGTTGAGAACAACATCATTAAAGGAAATATAAAAGCTTTAATAAATGTAACAGTTACATAGTTTATTTCAATTTTTTTTATCAAAGAAAGAGAATTAATAAGAACATTAAGTAAGAGTTACAGTCAATTCACTAGTTCCAAATCCTCCACCAAATAAAGGATAATAGTTCCACCAGAAACTAATAATAAAATTTTGTCCTGGAATAATAGAAAATGTTTGTTTGACATAAACAGGTGCATTCAACGAGGCTCCATATAGATACGCAGTACCTGTTAATTGATTTCCTGATACCGAGTCAATTGTGGTTAATGATGTAGCATTAGAATAAACAGTCAATGTCCAATTTGTCCAATTGTATTCAAAACCACCATTTGAAATAAGTTCTCCATTGCCTTGTGTTGCACTTACATCGTCTAACGCCCAATATCCACTATCATCTTGAACAGCTATTTCAATTGTATACTGATTCATTGTTGGAGCCACATAGCAGCATGAAACAAGTGCCCATACCGGTGGTGGAAGATACAAGAGATTTAAATTATGATACATAACTGTCGAACATGCCGTATAATTACTTGTATTACACACATGAGTTGAGCCAGTAGTGGTTGAAACTTTAATAAAGATGCAATTAAAAATACAAATATTAAAAGAAAATCGTACCGGTACTTGTAATTGTTGTCGTTACTGAATCTAAATATATTTTCGTACGTATAATTTGATCAAAGTCTGACAAGGAAATATCTCCAGGTATCAAATAACTTTTCGACCGACATGATATTCATTTGATGAGTGCTCGTAAATTATAGAAATGTTTAGAATGGTTTAGTTTTTCGAGACTCCGCTCTCGGAATATCGAAATTTTACTGAGTTTTTCAACAAAAAGCTGTGGTCCCTGGTTCGTTCACATAGAAATTCGATTTTCGGAATGTCTTTTCTGAAAGTGGTAACATATGAACAAAATTTGCTTTTACGCAAGAAAGAATTTCGCATATTGAATGTCTCAGAATAGAAGATACTAAAAAAACTACCACTTGGTCAATGAACTAATGTTATTGAGAACTTTATTCGTGAAGACATTGAAGTCAGAACCCGAAAGTGGATTTTTCACGTGACTTAAGAAGGATCACAGTTTTTTGTTAAAAAATCCAGTAAAATTTCGATATCTCAAGAATAAAAGGATTGAAAAACTAAATCGTACTAAGATTTTACATTACGCACTAGTACTCATCAAATGAACATTGTCCCGATTCAAAAGCAAAATGATATTTAGAGAGGTACCCTCGTTAGTGAGACACCTACCTTTACTCCTAGTAAGTGGAATCACAATGGCTATGATAATAGCTCCAAGAAAGAAAATCAATAAAATACTGGTTAGTGCGAGAATAAATGGAGAGCACCGTCGTTTCTTTCTCCTGTTAAAACAAATATATGAAATAGTTTAGAAATATTTCTTATCTTCATATTTCATAGAAATACTTTTTCAATGATAATTGATCTTGTTGTTCATTATTCGGATGTACTAATGATTTTTTCTTAGATCTTGTTATTGCTGAAAACGCTATATTAGTCCATGATGATGATGATGATGATGATGAATTATTCGTTGTATTTTGAAATAGACCAACATTCTGAGCAGAAATATAAGATTGAGCTAAATAAAAATGCATCTAAAAGAAAGTTACGAACTTTTCTACTTGATTGATAGGATGACAATGGAACGAAACCATGTGCATCTTTGGATGGTAATATCTGAGAAGTTGGAAGAACTATCTTGTCTAAAGTTGAATTAGTCTTGTAAACTGCATGAGAAAATGATTCTAATATATTTAGATGCAAATCATTATAACGATTAAGTTTCATACCGTTGATTTGTTTTGCTATACTAAGGACTTGATCATTGTGTCTTGAATTTCTTCTTCGTATGTGATTTAATGACTGAATATGGTTATCATGAATTTCATTTTGATATATTTGTTGTTGATTAGTAATATAAGGCGGAAGAGAATTCTGTCTTGTTTTACTTTTATTTTTCACTCTTGTTACTTTGGGTTTTGGAACGACAGAAGCAGATATGAAACGACAGTTTTGATTTAATAAATTAGTTGTGATTAATGATGAAGTGATATACTTCAATTTATTACTATATATTCGATTTTTTAGTTTCTTAGATCGTCGTTTCAGCGATTTTCGTTGAAGTAACCGAACATGAATCTGGTTTTGGTGAGTAGATCGAGTAGTCACCATTGAAGTGGAGAAGAAAAAAATCTGATTGTTGTAAAAAAAAATAAAATAATATCTGCACTTCACAATAAATACATTTTGTAATCCACCCATTGTTTGCTTGAAATGAAGCCGCACTATATACTTTGTATGTAATTAAAAAAATCTAATCATGAAAACTAAATTGAATGAAGACTATATGATACATTAGTTTGATTTGACCTTCATCAGAAGATCTTAAAATCTACTAAAGTTCATTCCTAAGACGAAAGTGTTAATATACAGTGATGAACAAAATTTTTTCTACGGTTTTGTTTTAAATGTAACTCCATTAAAGAACTATTTTTTGACACGCGGTTGTTGTCAATAGCACTGTCGTTGTGTATAGTATATGCAAAAATAAGTTCAATTCAGATAGTTGAGTCGGACTTGAATTGAATTAATAATAGTTCGAAGTAATCAATTTTTCGTAGAAACATTTTTTTTGAAAATGTTTAGAAAGAAAAACAAATCAATATTAGTGGATAGAAAGAAACAGGAACTACATTTTGACACTTGAAAATTTTGGAAGAAAAATTTTCTATGAAGCAACTTGCTGACTTTACGATAGATATGAGATGATACACTTGTTAACTCTCTGTCTTCATATTTATGTGAAGAAATTGAATTTTGAACAACGATATCAAATCATTGAAACAACGTTCCTGAAGATGATTTTCGAAGATTATCGCTGGTTTGAGAACATTATTTCAATGATCTGATGTCGTTGTTCAAAAAAAAAATTCTTCACGTGAATACGAAGATACAAAGTTGATATGTGTATTATATCATGTGTACTGTAGAGTAGGCAAGTTGCTTCATAGAAAACTTTTCTTTAAAAAGTTTCGATTGCTAAAATGTAGCTTGTGTTTTCTTTTAATCATTCATAGATATCTGATTTTTTTTCTAACCCTTTTCATAGAAAAATTACTTGATTTGAAAACTGTTGTTAGTTCAATTCAAGTACGATTGAATTTTCCTATGTACTTACTATTGATTAAATTCATGTGTCAAAAAAGCATTTGTTGAATGGAATAGCTGAAAGACAATAAAATCTTGTATAACGTTGGTTAACAAAAGTCCACTTTGTTTGGTGATATTTTTATTGAAAAAGAAATCTTAATTTCTCTATCAACTAGGATACCTTTATCTTTGTGAGAAAATTTTTAACTTTCAGATTCCAGTATAGACTAGTATGAACTATTCTTTCAAATCAATCAATTATCAATAATTGAATGCATCTATAGAGAACATATTTTTTTCCAAAACCACTAAAAATATGTTTTTTCTAACTATTTTCATAAGCTTTTGATAAGTTTTATCAATATTTCATAATTTTCATATAATGACTGTTTTCTTTAATTATAATATATACTTTTCATTGCAATGAGAAAAGAAATACACAAAAGTAAATCACAGAACAATGTGTACAAAATGTAAGATGATCAAACGAACGAACTACAGGCAAACATATCAACAAAAAAAAATTATTGTATGGATTCTGTTGAGTACAATATGATAAGATTAATGATTATTGAAATAATCACTCGTCAATTTTACTCATTCATCTAGGCCTCAAATAATAGAATTTCTATGGCAATTTTATTTATATCAAAGTTTGATTAGCTTCATTTCAACATTGAAATTACATTAGATTGTTTTATATGAAATAAAAATAGAAGTTAATCGTAACACAAAAGTATTATATAATAGAAATTTGTAAATATATTTATGCATCATGAAGTAATCTATTAATTAATCAAAAATCTTGTGCATCAATTTCAAATAATAAGTCTCTAACTTATTTCTAGCATAATATATCTACAATCCTCACAAATAACGTGGTAACATGAAAATAGAAAATGATTTTATCTAGTAAACTTTAAAATCATATTGAAAGAGAAATACATAGGAAATGTTCATTTTACCGATGAACACATTTGGTTGAATAGACCTGTCTTGATGTAGAATATGCAAAACTAATAAAATCATTGCGTTTTCTAACAGAATTTTATTTATCAAATCTTTACGAGACTATTCCATGTTCTAACAAATGTTCATGCAACATTGTGCAAGTCTGCACTGAGCGTGTTCTGCGCTATTCTATGCTTTGAGGTGTTCAAAAAGAGCAGTGAAAAAAACAAATAGGCATCTGCAAAATGTGTTCATAAAACAAAAAGAGCAAGAGGCGTAAACACAACAAAGAATTGACTTTTGTAATTAATTGAATTATTGCATTTTTTTCTCCCTATTCACTAAAAGGTAATATACTATAAAGTATTTTAGTTATTATTATCTTAATTAGATACAATACAATACTTCAATTTGATGGACCTAAAGATAAATGATTCAGTTTAAATATCCATAGGCTCTGTGCTTCAGTTTTGTGCTTGTTTTCTTAGTGAACACCAATGTGATTTCCTTTGTCCTTTAGAAATTCAAACTATTGATTAATTTTTAGAGTCAACTTCAACAACTTGAAGATACGATGTTTATGATATCAACAACATTTCACTTATTATTGACATTAAGCACTCCGATTGTGTTAGATGTAAACAATAGTAAAGCCTCAGAAAAGATCACTTTTAGACTAATTTCTGATCATGCTGAAAGAGTTGTAAAACAAATCAGATAGCTATGAAACTCTTTGATGGTAACGTGCGTAAATTTATGGCTTGAAGATTTGAGTAAAGTTAAACTGAGAGGAGAGAACAATTAATGTTAAGTGTAAGAGTTATGATCGGCAATCATTTTCAAAGTATATCATTATATGACAACAAAGCCTTATTTTAGCAAAAAAAAAGTCTACCATCACAGGGCTAAAAAGCAGTCGAAAAAGATCATAAGAAATGACAGCCAATGTATTCAATTATGAGTAATTTATTGAGATTTCATGGTTTGAAATAAAAATAATTTTAATATGATTTTTTTTATTTGTATAAAGTAATTTCAAATAAAAACTCATTTTCTTTTTGATTAAGTCAATATTTAAAAAGTTCTGCAATGATACCATGTGATATTGCAAATGAGTTCAATAGCAACAGTACTGAGTACACATTGTTTGTACATATGTTTGCTTTGATAGACATATTGAAATACTATGATATTTATTATTATAGAATTTATTTACCACCGTTCAATATATATCACATATAATTGTCTTTATAAAATAAAAATATTTACATATTTTCACAATAAGACGAACAATTGAATAAAATATAAAACTAAATCAAAATTATAGTTACATCTTTATTAAAACCATAAATCAAACCAATTTTCATTATATTCAACTGTAAATGAATCTTCTGCCTTTATGTGAGAATGATCAATAATCCATTGTCTAAGATTTTTACGTATTTCTTCTGGCAATGAACCTGTCACATCGACTGAAAGACGTGTTTTTTCTTTCCAAAGAGAAATAATTTTCAATACGAAGTTATCAATAAGAACTGTTGAATCTTTTAAAGTTATGACAAGATGACGAAGTGAACCAAAAACTTCTGATATACGTTGCAATAGATCGGAGTTGACATCGATCCAATCCATAATATTAAGACGAATAATTCGAGTTTGCAATAGACGACATGTAAATTCATCATCGAATAATGTTTTGAGACAATCAAAATAAACAATCAAATAGTCAAGATTTGGTGCAGCATTGAGCAAAGGAAATAATTCAAATATTCCAGATGTTTCAATCTGTTTGAGAAAAGGTAATTCTAGATTGATTGATTGTGATTCTTTTGGTAAAGTTACTAAACAAACAAAACAGATAAGTTTTAATTCAACATTATTTTATCCTATTTAAAAAAAAACCATAAGGTAAAAAAACAAACGAATAGTCAAAGAATACATAATCATATGTTCAAGAATTCTATTTTATACCAAAAAATGGGAAAATTTGCAATTCAAGATACTTACAAATTTGTGACCTATCTGTTGCATCAATAGTAAGTGTTCGAAGACCACGAAAATGTTGTAATATGAGAAGTATCTCAAGCATAGATGTTATATCATAGATGTATAAATCTTTGATTCGTTGCATATATTTCCAACCTGATGGCATTTGTTTACTTATGGTAGCTGTTAGAATAGCTGAATGTACATCATATGGAATAGTATGAATTAGAAAGCGATGTCGTGGTTCATCTAATAAACAAGCGGTAGGAATATGAGTTGACAAGAAACTAGTTGCTAATTCAGTATCTCGATTTGACTTAGAAAAATAATAACGAATGAAAAAATCAAGTTTAGTAAGTGATGAAGGTAAAATCGTCATTAAATCTTTTTGATTGACTAGACGTTTGTCATCTGTACGTAGATCAAGTGCAAGCTGTTTTACAGAAGGCATTGCTTTGAGTAGATGAGCTATTTCATCAAATGTCCAAAAAAAATTAATTGAACGTAA